AATCTGAGGGTCGCGGGCTCGAATCCCCGTCACACCAAACATGCTCGCCCTTTCAGCCGTGGGGGCGTTATAATGTGACGGTCAATCCCACTATTCGTTGGTAAAAGAGTAGCCCAAGAATTGGCGGTAGGTGGTGATGACTAGCTGCCTTCCCTATAGTCTTACACTGCTAAATTAGGGACGGCTAGCGCAGATAGCCCTCGTGTAGCTTTGCGCGAAATTCAAAACAAACAAATAAACATTTTTGTTTCAATCAATGTTATATTTTTGTTATTTAAGTCTCTGTTGTGTTTTCTTCCTTTTTCTCTTTTCTCGCTTCATCTACATTTTTCAGCCTTAGTCATCAGCATTTTATAGCATGTTTTTTGTTACCTAATTGGAGTGAATATTATAGGAATAAGGCTAAGGATTAGTTGTTAAGTAAAGGACATTCGTACAACAAGAATACAAACAATGTTTTAAAAGATATTCTTCAGTAGTGAAAACGTACTTAGAGAAATTAATGTTATTAAAAAAACCCAAAGTATATATATATAAATATCGTACAACTGTATACAATAAAACATTAAATATAATTCACAAGCAGACTGTACTGGATGAAAATATAATAAAAACCAACAAAATTATTTAAAACACAAAAACAAGTAAGACCTAGGTTTTAAAATAAAAGTATTGTTTATTCTACAGTAAAAAAAATATTCTCACACCCTAAGCATGGCCAACCCACTTTTCTTTTAAAGTATGTTCAAGCTCGCACAAGCGACACTTCCGTGAAAAGCAGGCAGTATCTTTCACATTAATGTACAGTTCGGCGTTACATATAGCTATTAGAACCAAGAACCCTCGAAATAAAACTAGCCAATAACATTAGGGGTTTAATCCATATAGCTAAACAAGCTATTAAAGCTAGTTAGGAGAGGTCATACGAAATGTCTATTTAGTAATCGTAAATTTTATTCACAGAAGTATTCAATATTTTTACACAATATATTATTATTAGATTACATCATAGAGGACTCTCATAAAAACATCATCTGACATAATCATACCAATATTCTGTACTCGGTACGTAAGAGGTCTCCTTAATTGGGCCACATACTTATACGCATCTAGACGGATTTCCACTACATTATTAAGTAGAGCGAACAAAGGAGCCAAAGGAAAACTCCCTACAAACAGTGTGACGAATCCAAATTGAATGAACTAAAATAAAGAAAAGAGAAAAGTAAGTTAAACAAAATGAATACAGTTGAATTTGTTCTTTAGAAAAATGTATTAACTGAGCAATTCTTTGGGCAGTATTAGTTCACTAGTTATTTCTGTGATGTTTTAAAGTGTTACACCATCAACTCCAATCTGTCTTTAAGAAATAATGTAAGAGTTTAGACTTTACATTTCTGCAATCAAGAATTTGAAAACCTTTACAGTAACATGTATATATATTACATCAATTTGTTGATTTTCTATGGATGAGTTAGTACTGACACAGAACGTCTATTTTTTCTTCTTTGAATAATTAATGGTTCCATTATCATATTCTGCAAACAAACTTTAAAAGTTAATTGCTAAAAATTATATAACGTTAGAAAATATTATTCTGTGCAATGTGTACAGAGGTTGAGTATGTTTTCTTAAAATTATTTTGGGGTCTCACCACGTTCTTACATTCCATGTCGCTACCTCTGGTCATGCGCTCTCTGACAACCGCCTATCTTGACAATAACTCTGAAACGTAATTTCCATTGCAAAAGTCTCCGTCGTAAGGCTGCTATGTGCAAATCATACTATTTCTCTCTGATACTTTCCATAATCCACACAGTGCATCAAGGCAATGGTTTTCAGAGTCCGTTTCAACAGTTTGATTGCACAGAGATCTATAAACACTGTATTCGGCGACTTTACTCGAATGTCTTGGAAAGGTATAGCATGAATACCCATTCATTTTCGATCTGATTGAAGTATGCTGCAGCTGAACAGATATTTTGTGGAAGCAACTTGTGTACATGTGATTTGTGTCGATTTTCCTGACGGGATCCTTTTTGATTATGTTGTGCATTGTTCGTGTATTCTCATCTTTTATATGACGCCACACTTTGCTTACGGCTGGGGTACAACTTGTTGTAAGTCTATTTCTGGATGGTCTTGGTGCCCTAAGTTGATCCATGTTCTTATGTTTTCGAACGTCACTAAGTACAAGGCATATCACTGTCTTGGAAATTATAAATCCCCGATCTGAATTCATAGTTATGATCTGAGTGTATTAATATTTTGAGTCAGAAACGGCTGTTAATACCTTTCCCCAAAATGATCAGTTTTGGTATCATCACACTAACTACGAAACGTTAAACAATGTTAAAATGTAGTTTTGGTATATGCTGTTCCACCGCAACTTTATATTAGATGTGGTTTTCACGTGACTTGATTATTTACTTATTCGAAACATTTTAACATAATATACTCAAACCTCTGTTATAATACATACGAGATCGATATGCATCTTAGAAAAGAAAGATAAAATTCAGAAAAAGTTATTAATGGTTCCTAAATATGATAACAACGAAGAATTTTGTATGAGTGATAATTTAATTCAACACTAATAATACAGTTGTGGATAAATTAAGCTTGCCTGTAAATCAAGGTATATTATAACCTCCTCGGTTTATGTGAATAAATGTACATAACAACAGTCCTACAATGTAAAACTTTATCACTGATAACCAGAAATGGGAATATTTTCAAACATCCAGTCCTAATGGCTTCAACACATCTAAAGTTGTTGAAAACAAACATTAGAAATATGCTTAACATAGTAAATATCATGAGGCTACTAAAACAGTTAGTAAAAAATTATTTACACAGAAGTTTCTGTAGCCATAACATAATAGACTATTTTAGGAATAGATTCAGATTTGTACTTTTGTTACCATTTAGATTCATTTATGCATTTATACCAGGCACATGGAGCTCTTAACTATAAAACCGTTTGTTAGTGAAAGCTAGAGTGTTGGATTAAGGAGGGAATTTGAATACCGTTAAGATGCTTTATTGTAGTACAAGTACAGTCATAAAGTATTTCTCACCCATTTCCAAATATTCATCAAACAATGACATACTGTCAGTGGTTTCGAGATTATAATCTTCTTCCCAACGTGTATTCGGTTGTTGAGGGACAAAGTTTTCTCGAGCCCGCCAGTACACCCGCCACCAAATCATTATTTTCCTAAGGTTTAGAGCACAATTATTATTTCATTCCTTTACACACTTTGTTCAAATTAAAATACTAAGTTATATAACAAAAGTAAGGAATTTAAAATAAGAAATCTGGAAGATTTCATAAGAAACGTTACTGAACTTTTAGACAGTACGGTGCATTATATCCTTATGATTATGCTAAAATAAGAGATAGGACATGATCAAATAGAATTACGCTTAGCAAACATATTAATTGTTACAAAATGCGCAAAATTGGTCATCTCTAAGGAAACAAGTAAAGAAGAGATACAAGAATAAGAAATATAGCGGAAACAAGAACTCAAACAATAACTTAATAATTAAAATATTTCTATGTATTTATAAAATATACCTTCCTTGAGCTTAGGTACATATCATTCAATGAAACTGCAACAATCTTATCGAGAAGGGCCCGGCATGGCCAGGT